ATTAGATTCAATTGGTGTTGTCAGACCTGCACAACACAGCTGAATTCTGAAAAATACTTGTATACATGTGCAGCTCTCATGACATTCACATGGATCAGCTTGCAGGAACTAACAGAACATCCTTGTATACAGACTAATATCTACATTATTCTGTAATGTTATTGTGTTATCCATCAGGAGACCAACTAAGGCTGGGTCTGTGACAATAAGGTCTGTGACAATAAGTATTAAAAATGTTATTTATAATTTTCGTTTTGCTTTTAGAAGTTCTCACAGTGGCCAGTTAAATAAACAATAATCAAAAATGTTCTAATTATTTTTTAATTTACCTTCTTTTGTTTTGGTTTTTCTATTCTGAAAACATCGAATTTCTTAGTTTGCAGTTGTACTATCCTATTTTAAAAAGAAGGGAATGTGTTTTTTTTAAAAAAAATTAGAGCTCAGGTAAAAAAATAAAGAAAAAAAAGTGGTGACTTTAAAATTCTGGTATTATAAAAAGATAGGCTGATACTGCCTCTCACTGAAGCTGGTGGAGACATATCTGAGATTTCTCTATTCTGTTTTGGAGCTATAGTTCAGAAGCTCTGTATTTTAATACCTAGTCCAAATATAATGAGTAAAGCAAAAGGCTAGCTGAATAAGGCTATTAATCTTTTTTCTGTGTGGAGAACGAGTCAACTTCTAACTGTACTTTTTATTATAAAATACAGTCACAAGCCCTGAAGATTCTGAAATAAAGTCTGTTTTGACATCCTGCTAATAGCTGTTCAGATTGAAAATTTTCTTGTGTCACCACACCGCAGCCCAGCTGCTGCAAACGATAGATGCTTTCTATTTTCTTAAATTGGTTTCCAGCCTCTGGATGATTTGCTATGCAAAGGCTGCTGTCCTAGAAAGGTTCATGGCATCCTTTTAGGGACTTGATGCCTTTGCTTTAATTTCCTCCATGCTTTTTTTTTTTTTGTGAATTAAGCCTGACAATTTTGACTGTTTGCTTTTGATTAAACATAGGGGACAAGGACTGCAGTTCATTTGCTACCTCTCAAGTAACCATGTCAAAGTGCATTATAGAGCATGATGAACACCTCTGAGGAGGTGTTCCTGCTATCTGCACCAAGCAGGCACATTTGCAAATTCATGAGCTATTTTTGAAATTCATGAGCCATCCTCTGCCCAGTTTTTCCTTTTGTTTTCTACAATAGGGCATCCAGAAGATTTTATTTTTTTTTTTCTGAAAGCACATTACTTCAGCTTTTAAAACAAAAAAATAATGCAATAAAATTGAAATATGTATATAATAAAAAGGTAAACCAAACATACATGAATTTTGGTATTCTTCATTAGACACGCTTTTTTCCTTCATTCAATGCATTTCCAGATGAAATCATAGGACATATTCAATTTCCATCCATTTTATCATCTTTCATTCATCTGATCTTTTTTTATTTTATTTTTTTTTAAAGAATAAATTATTGTGCTCTGTAATATGTTCCAATGACAATGCATTTCTCTGTGCTCATACATTAGCACAGGAATGGTACCTGGTTATAAATATATGATCATGAATAAAAGTGTGTGTTTTTGTTCAGTCTCATTCCAGTGTTTGGGCATCTCACCCAATAAATCCCATCAGGTTTCCACAGGGGAGAATTTTCCTGGTCTCAGGAGAAGGGTGTGTGGACAGCAGTAATCACCAGGTAATTTATTGGACCTTTCTAACTAGGTTAGAGACCTTGGGTTTACATGGGCATTCCATGGCCATCACCAAAATGCTTTGTAACCTAAGCATACCCTATGGTGCTCACATGATTAGGAGACAAAGTCAGAAGGCATTTATTCCTCTCCCCTGTGCTGGACAATGTGGCTAACAGAATATACACTAGGAGCTGGATGGAATTCTTTACAAATTGGCACATTGCAAAATCTTTCTTGGTGACTCGATGGTCTTTGTAAAACACAGTAACAGTAACCTGTGGAAATGAGTGCTGATGCTTATAAACTGCACTAATCTTTTATATAGTGGTTATAACATAATGAGCTTCAATAAAACATCTGATTTTTCCTTTTCATTGTCACAGTTGACTGTCTTTAGTCTCACACTAAACTTGTTTTTCAGTTTCACCTAGAGAGCTGTGAACTGAATAAACACAAGGAGTTGTGAGAGAAGCTATAGGAGTTGTTTAGTTCTCTGTAATCCTGTATTAAATAAGTATAGCCACAAAATATCAAACAGAAAGAAAATGAGCAGTGGGGCAGGATTTTGAAATATCTTTGGTGGGGAAATATGAGAAAATTATAAAAATCACCTAAAAAATAGAAATCATTAAAAAAAAAAAAAAAGACAATGTCAAAAGAGACATCCCTACCAACTCCACCTGTTTCAAAGGGAAAATTTGCACACACACTTCTAAGAGTGTAAATTTTGCATCACTGACATTGTATGAGAAGCTGCAAAAATCCCCCATACAGTCTTTTACAGAAGAATGGTGTCTGGAGCAGAGAGATTTCCTTTGCTCTGTGGCAACATTACTGAAAAATCCATGTATCTTTCCACTTTCATGGACTGCTGGTTATCAAGGAAATGATTGTTGAGGTTCCACAGTGAGAAAGCCTTTTCATTAAAGCCTGTTTGTGAACTGCCTGTAGTTGAGGCATTTTCTGTTTGTCAATTCTGCATATACAGACCCTGGCAACCTTACAATGCAAACAGCCAATAACACTGTATTTCTCTGCAAATAGATGTAGGCTGAGTGTAAGTGAACTTTCCAGAGCCTTCCTATTGGTACTGCCCCATCCCTAACTGTAGTCGTGTTTGCCAGGAACTTCTCCATCTGGGGAAAGAAGTAGGGAATATGTCAAAAGATTTTAAATCCTACAATAAATAAATAAAAAAAATCTTTTAAAACATGCATTTTCTAATAATATTTAATAAAAATAATAGGTGTTTTCTAATAATATTTAATAAAGATAATAGGTGTTTTAATGCATTTTTTAAAATTGAGATGTTTTAGTTATCTAATAATAGGTATTCGTAATGTATATGTGAGAAAAGAAGAAAATTCCTCTGGCAAGAATAAGAAGCAATACTTTAGAAATATGTGTTCAGCTTTTATTTTCATGCCACCTAGCTGACTGACATTTACAGTTATATTTACAGCTATATTAAGGTTTTACTACAAATACGTGAAAGATGACATTTGGTATTGAATATTTTTGCACAATAAGCACAGAATAGGATATCCTGTATCCTATATAGGATATAGGATAGTTTTGTCTCTATTACAAACTGGAGTAGGTGGAGCTAAGATAAATGCTGCTAAATTTGCATCCAGGTTTAACACAAATTACTGAAATGATGCTGGTCTTCATTGGATTTTCTCTCAGCTTGAGGATAGATCTTGAAAACTTAGCAGTGATCATGTTTCCAGATTTGTCAGAGACATTTATTGTCCACACACCAGAAATAAATGTATGACTGAATTCAAAGCTGTTTCTTTGAAGACAAAGAAATGAAGCTCTGAAAAAATTCAAATTACTCAGACTATCCCAAGTGGAGACTACCAAGAGTTTTTTAAACTGGATAGCACTCAGTATCCCATGACTCAAAGCTAGCTCTCATTTCTACTTCGATTCTGGGCTTCATATTTTCAGAATCTTTTGCTAAACAATCATATTCGTAAGGTTTCCCTGTTTCATCCTCCCCAACAGTTTTCAAATGAACAGGCTGATTTATATTTCTAAGCATTCAGGGACTGATTCCCTTCATATAGCTTAAATGGTTTTCAGCCCTGTTTAGAAATTTCCCAGCCTCAGGGAATAAAGTAGGAAATTTAAGAGAATAGTTTTTCAGCTTCCTGGTACATAAGAATGCAAGATATTTCTCATTTTAAGCAGATCTATTTGCTGGATGGTTTATTCTTTCTATTTTGCAAGCTACTTGATATCAAATGAACAATATTCACTTGAGTGACTGCATCTGCCAAATTATCAGTGTGGAGAATTTATCCTCTAGAAAGGATTGTATGGAAGGGAAGATTGCAATTTCAATGACTCTTCTTGCTGAAAAACATATCTTGAAATAAGTTTCCAAGCATATTTTCAAATTAGTGTTCCAGTAGTGTACAAGGTTGCTGAGGATGTCTTGTGGCTGTGCTGTCTACACTCTGTTTTTGAAAAAGAGATTAGGGACCCAAACACCTAAGACACTGCAAAAGAAATTTAAACTTTGCTTTTCCTTCCCCCTCCTCATTGCCCTTCTCTCTGATGAGTCTGGGCACAATATTCTTTTGCTAAGGGAACACTTGAACTGAGGAGTACAAAATAATGAATAGCTTGCACATCAGCATTATTATATTTGTCAGGATTCCACATGCAGTGAATCCTGGGAAATATACTGTTAAAGCAAATTAGTGATATTCCATAAGCTATATTTTTGTATTTTTCCCCCCAGCATGTCATTGTTCTACACTTCCATAGTATTGGTTCTTTTAAAGGTTTTCTAATGTAGGGCACTGCCAATTTGTTTGTTTTGCACTTATCCCTTTTGAAAAACAATATTGGCATGAGCCAGATGTTTTGACTTGTAATATCCCAGTCACTGGCCTCAATAGAAGAGACTTTCTGGTATGATGAGGAACGTTGATGTACTTGGATTGTTTATTCTATGGCTAAAAAGTTTACAGTGGTTTTTAAGGTAACGAATTATGACAGTGTGCAAATTTTGCTCTCCATACCTGCGGCATAAACACGTTTGTGGACAGTCCCAGCTTTTATATACTATAAAACCAGACATATTAATAATGTCACTACTACACCACAGAGGTGTTCTCAAAATGTAAAACAGAATATTGAATAGATAAGATGGTGATAATTACATAGCTTGGTGTCTCAAGAGGCTTTAAAATACAGTAAGACCTAAATTAATTTGTCATATTGAATCCTAGGCACAATGAAAATTTATTTCATGTCCAGGTAAGTTAAAATACTCTATCTGAATATTCATCACAAATCGACTTTAACTCTCCTGAAATTGCACAGAAGGAAAAACTCAATTCCAGATTCCTTTGGGTGGTGAAACACCAGTTTTTGGAAGTTCCTCTGCTGCAAATGAGAGGTGACCTTGAATCATCAGAGCCAGCACTTGCTGCTGAGGCAATCGTTGCCATTATCACACTTTGGCTGCAGCTTGGAGCAGCACTGTAATATTGTCACTCCTGGCAGAATTCCCTATATGCATTAGTTTGAAATGGTATTTTAAAAGCCTATATAGTCAATAAAGATGTAAAGTCTGGAAAAATTGTAGGAAAACATGGTTAATTTGCTTAGTTCCTTGGGCTCATTAAATTGGCTCAATGACTGGATTTAAAATAACTGAGCTGATACATCAGCCCCAAATAATTTTTATGCCAGAAACCGCAGCAGTGTACTCTGTAATGCCAAAGCTAGATTTCCCTGTGACATACTGCCCTCTTGTGCATCAGCAGCTTTCTTATAGAAACAAGCTAAGAGCAAGACACCCATTTAATAAGCAGAAGTTCTCCAACTCTCTCTTGATCTACTTTGACATTTTTAATTTTTATCCAGAATGAATGCAGGTTCTTAGGTCGTGATGGAGAGGCAACACAGACTGGGCTTTTCCAGCCTGGAGAAGGGATGACCAAGAGGAGATCCTACTGCCATGAGGGGAAGAGGGGAACAGACTGGACAGAGTTGGGGGTGGAGAATCTGGAGAACCTGTCTGGTCCACCCTCAGGACCAGACAGAATTGCACAGTCTTCTGTGACCTGGGAAAGTGAGTTGTCTGGAATCAAGCCTGGACAGTTTTAAAATTGCTTTCCCATCTTCAGTTCTATGCTGTTTAAAATGTTAAAAACTCTAATTTATATGCTATGAAAATTTTCGCATTTAAAATCCCTTCTGCTTATCTGTGGAGAAAGCACTACAAGGAAGCTTTTGTAACCTTAGACCTTCAGCAGAGTGGTTGCACTTTTATACCTGAGATTCTGTTTCTGTGTCAGTGATACTTGTTTTGTACAAAATGGAAGTCTTCCACCAAGATGATCCTTTTCAGTTTTCCTGACAGTAAAGTCACTTTTCTACTTGAAGGTTGATGTTAAATCAGGACTCCCCAGACAAGAGGAAAAAAAACCAAACAAAAAACAAAAAACTGCTGTAACTTCCCGATACAATTGTTGTCCATTAAGCTCTGGGTGAAGGAATATCCTCTTTCACGCTTGTTGAATGGGATTCTCAGGAATGCCAAGCACCACAGATGAAATGAACTATACTTTCACCTTGTAAGAGGTCAGATGAGAGTTGTAGCTGCAGTTAGCTATGTTTGACAAGGACTTGTTGCTCTGAGGCAAGCCCTATGGCAAAAGAAATAAGAGGACATGAAAATCGCTGTATCTTAATTTAGTCTGTCAAGTTTGGCATTTAGCACTTAAACAGCCACATTGGATACCAACATCTTTTATTTGATATAGTCCCTCTGTAACAATAACATCTGGAAAAGATATTGAGGCTTTAGTGCCTTTGAGAAATGTTTTACTGTCTGTGGATTGAAATTAGAAAACTATCTGCTAATTTAAAAATAAATCATACTTCCCTTACTTGTGGCAATGTTTGGCCCCTATACCTTTATGAGGAAGGAAGAAATGGCACTACAGCTATTCTACCATCAGTCATGTGCCACACCTCTATTAAAGTGCTAGGAGCTTTCAGAAACACAACAGTTTAGACTTCTAAATAATAACAATAATAGTATGAATATGGATATGAATAGTAGTAGCAATAGCAGTAGCAGTAGGAAGAAGGAGATGATTTGGAGAGGAAAAAAAATATTTTTCCTGTAAAGAATAATTGTTCAAAATATGCAGGGAAAAACTGTCCTACACATTAGATACTGCATAATATATAGTTCGCAAGCTATTTTAGCTGAAAAGACCTGCATACATTTCATGTGTCTGCCAAGTGCCAAAACACATATAATAAAAGGTGTAAAAGTGGGGATCACATCAGATTGCCTGTGAGGTCACTGACTCTGAACAGGAACCAGAAATTATGTGAAACCAGTGAGTGGATTGTCTAGCTCAGGTTGAAGTGTAGTACAGTGTCTGGAACCTAAAGTCTTGAACTCCATCTCCATGGTTTTAACTGGGAAGGGACTGGATTCTGCCTCTGGAGAGCAGCAAAAAGGCTCTGAGTCCTCTGGAAGATAATTCAGAACAGAAATATTGCTTACTACTGTCTAAAGGAATCCTAGAGATAATTGCTTTCTAATGTGAAGTTCTTTCTTAGGTGTCTAAAATTTTACAAAGCAAACTTTACTAGCATCTTAGCAAAATGGGCTCTGGCAATTCAGCAACACCCCCAGCTCCTGGTTTGTTCCAATGTAGTATCATTGACATCACCAATAGCATTCACCAAGAGGGTTTGGTGGTAAGTTATGTCCATTAATATAATGCTCAACACTAGCTCTAAATCAGTTGGTGTTATTTTCAGAAGCCACTTTAGACATAAGTTTTGGTACCAGAAATAAACTCCAACATCTCCAGTATATTGTTCTTCTGTGTGTTTAGCAGATTGTCACAAGAAGTCCTATTCAATTTTACTCCATTTCAAGCTGTGATTAGAGGAGAGCCAGGGAGAAATAAAATAAAGATTGCAAGCCCAGGAGTAAGGAAATAAATCTCTGAAGCTTGTGTTAGATTCTGATGTGTAAGTTGATATATATCCAATACAACTGGAAAACAATGGGATGAAATATTAAGCAAAACCAAAATAATAAAAGAGCCTCTAGTATCTTAATTTAAAACAAAAAGAGAACCAGCTTAAACTTGCCTATTTACTTGAATCAAAGCAGCTCAGTTATGTTAAAATAAAATAATGACAGCAAAGCTGCCCTTATTGGAGCTATATTTAGTAATTTGTTTTATGCAAACAATGTCCTTACTTTATGCATCGTATTTTTCCCAGCTCTGAAAAAAAGCTGTATCAGTGTTTAGCCTTATCTTGTGTGTGTAGTTATACTGACTGCTCTTAAGCATCAGAACCATTGCACACAGCAAATTTTGGCTCAGTCCTGAAACTTGTCTCAGCACAATTTGGCATCATCTTCTACTGTCACTTATCTTCTAGTACACTTGTTCTGTGAAGATATTATCTGGCCTGTGGAGTGAAATCTGTCCAATAACTCTGAAGTAATTGCTAAAATCACATTTTCTTCCAGCAGAACACATAACGTTTCCAATTACAGAGCTTATTTACTGTCTTCTTTTGTAGCTGCCTGTACTGGCTATTAGTAGTCTTGTGGTAGGTACACATTTCAGTTATGCTAGGTTTCAAAAAAGTGGTGTCTATCAAAATCTACTCTAGCTGCCAAATTACAGTGGGTGTTTACATATCATGAAACTAACTTAATGACCTGTTGCCTGGGTCCAGATGTACAAAAAGAAGCAGCAGTCAAGCTCAGAGTGCTAACATGAATGAAGAAATCCTGGGGAAAAGAGGTCTACAAACTACTTATACAGTGTTTCTGTGTACTATTATGGGTAAAAGATCTCAATATACACTATGAAATTTGGTGATACATGAGACACCTTTGTATTTACTCTCATGCAGTGTTAGTAAATTTAAATAAACACATTTAAAAAAACCAGAATATTTCTTATTTGTAAATTAAAGTGATGTATACAGACAGAGCTTTGCAATATGAGTATAAAATAAATGTCCCCTGAAAGTTTGTAAGTGCAATTTGAGCAATTTACCTTCTTATGACAAAAGATGATGATGACAATAAGTTTTTTGAAGGACTGGCCACCCTGGGGAGATGGTTTGCTTCACAGCTCACCTCTGCTGCTGCAGGTGTGCCCCACAGTTCCTGACAGCCTGAACCAACCAAGGGATGACTCTGGCACATCTAATAAATATATTTCCTTCAAGAATCAGGAAAACCAAGCCTATGAAATGCTTTAAATTAGTCCTTTGCTTTGAAATAGTGAACAGCTTAGTTCCATCAGTGCTTTTAGTGGAATAGAGGAATTAACACAGACTCTTTCCAAAACCCCATGTGTTTTCTTCCCGTTAAAAGCCAGTTTATATGTGATATTTGCATATCGTGTAGCATATGCTTCTCATTCCAGCTGTGTAGATTAATAGGTTGAGGTTTTATTTTCTGACATGGCCTCTGTAAGAGCACAGATGTAGATCTGAGATGATGTAAAACAGGTAATAAATTTTTGTGTACCTCAAGCTGAAATGGATATTTTACAATAAGGAAGGTGACTCTTCCAAGAAGAGACCTATGGTTTGAGAGCTCTATAGTTCAATGAAAAGCATTGCACAGTTTTGTGGGCAACCTGAAGAATATACTGTCTGTTAAATATTCCAAGCATACTGGTCAGAAACTGTATTTTCTTTGATGTTTTTCCCTCCCAAGCACTGCCTAGTGTCAGTTGATGTCAAAATCATCTAGGTTTTACTGGCACAGCTACATTACTGTGATAGCAGTAGCGGTGGTGCATGCACTTCCAGAATGGGCTGAGGTTCTTCTTTGCCCATGTAGCTCTGTCATGTGTTTTGGGACCATCTGTTGCTGGCAGGATCTCTCTGGCAAAATTGTTTGCTAGGCCCAAAAGAAGCAAAACCCACTTTTGGCTTTTCTGATGTTGCTAAAGTTGGCTATTATAAATCTTATAAACACAGAGAGCAGAGCTTTTATTGAAGCACAGCTCTATTTTCCTCCTTCACATGAGCATATTGTTGAGAGAGCATCACATGTCAGTGTTTGCCAGTGGGAACATTGATAATGGATGCAGGGGTTTCATGCAGAAAGAGACTGTCTTTGCAGCTTTGTCAGAGAGGACTAGCAACATTCAAGGTGGAGAGCAAGAAGCAATACAGTCAGTACATGCTGCTGCACAAACTGTATCTTAGAGCAAGTATCTCTGGAGCAAATTAAATAATATTACTATTGAAAGATTACTTGCCCTGAAGGAGACTTATTTGCCATACAGAAATGGACAATTGAACCATACCCATGTGCAGTGGTGAAGATTGCTACCACAACTGTTGGCAGTTTCATTTCTGTAATGACCAGATGCCCTAGCCAAACATCACACAGAGACATAATTCTTGCAGCAATTATGTCACCTAAAATTCCAGAGTGGCCAGTGGTTTCATAAAGACAGGCAAAAAGTACTGACTTTTAGAAAAGCTGTTGATTTTTCCAACAGCCATTTCTTCATGGCACTGCATAAAATGCTAATTGCCATGACATTTGTTGAAAGCTTCAATCCTCATAATGGAACAGGAACAACCACTGAACTAAGTGCGTGTTCCACTGCAGACCTGTTAACAGTGGTTTTAAGATAATGAAATTATAACAAGAAGAATGTGTCTTTTTCCAGTAAGAATTAACTACACACAGTTTTATCTGTTTATTAAAGCACTTGAGTAGCCCCTTCACATATCATCTAGACCCAGACCTAATATTTATTTATATTTCATTCAGATAATTTTTCTTTAGCATGTAGATGGAATATCTCAGAGTTCAGTGAGGAGAGAGTTAAGGACTATCTCTAACTATTAAGAAAACCCCAGAATACCTTTGTAGTTCCCAAAAGGTGTTCATCTGCTTGTCCATCTGTGAATTGCTTGTTTTTTGGTTTAGAGCAGATTCAGAAGCTCACAGTTAAGCCAAGGAGGTCACTTGCTCCACCTGCTTCCTTTACTTTTAAGGGGGATAAACTGGGCTTGTGTTTCCAGGAGAGGGCTCTTGAAAAATTCCCAGAACTTTACAGTGGCGTTCTCTCAGCAACACCTCAGCTCTGGGAGGTCAGAACCTCTCTTGACTCCCTGTCAGGATGGCAGTGGGAGCCTTAGTGCTCCTTAACAGAGAAACACCAACTATGAGCACCTTATTCTTGTAGTATCCTCTGTGTCACAAGTATACTCTCTATAAAAAAAAACCCAAACTTTTTAGTTTAATCGTCATTCAAAATAATACAGTTTTTCATACTTGTAACTCAAAAACATAATTAATAATGAGACAGATCCCCAGTGAAATTTTTCAGCCTGGCATACTAATGTTATGGAGCATATCTGCCAAGGCAGGGGGCAGCTGTAGGCCCAGACCATGTAGGCAGTTGCCTAAGGCAGCAAAAGAGATGCAAAAATCATGGTTATAGAAGAGCAGCTCCCCCAGGCACCACCTGGTTCTGTTGAGATTATACAGTCTTCTCAGCCTTAATAATGAGAAAATTTATCCCACTCCCTGGCTTTGTTTTCCCTCATCCTCCTGCTGGTAGACAAAGGAGGTCTGGAAAGATCCCAGCATGGAGCCAGAGAAGAGCTGTTCTTCCTTTTATCTCCCTTCTCTCAAGCAGTCATGCCACATTGGGTCAGAAAGTCCAAGCAGGTGTTTGCAATTTTAACCTCATTAATTTTGAAATACTGCTGTGAAACCTTGAGTCTGCCTGTGACAAAATCATTCTATTATTATATAATTTCTGTATAATTTTACTGGTTTGGGCTAAGATAGAGCTATTTTTCTTCATATTATAGAATGGTGTTTCTGGTCTGGGATGAAGACAATGTTGGTGACTCAGGAATGCTTTAGCCATTGTTGGGTAGTGCTTGCACAGCACCAAGATTTTTCCAGTTTCTCACACCTCCTGATCATCTAGTGGGCCGGGGGGCTACTCGAACCTGAGAGGGGACACAGTCAGGACAGCTGACCCCAAATGACCAAAGGGATATTCAATATTGTACAACATCATGCTCAACAATAAAACCTGGGTGAAAGAAAAGGGAAGGGGAAGTATTCCAAGATAATGGTGTTTTCCCAAGTAACCATCGTGTGTGATGCAGCTCTGCTTTCCTGGGGATGGCTGAACACCTGCCTGCCCAGGGGAAGTGGTGAGTCAGTTCTCACTTTTCATGCATACCCAGCTTTTGCTTTACCTAATAAATTGTCTTTGTCTCAATGCACAATTTTTCTCACTTTTACCATCCCAATTCTCTTGGAAAGAGGAAATGGCTGAGTAGGGCCAAGCTGCTGACTGGGGTTATCCCACAATGACCACACAGAATTTAGGACTGTAACTCCTGAACAGCCGTGGATTTGGTCATTCTGGGCATTCATTTGGTTATCATTTGTGATCCTTGTACCTTCACATTTTTACTTATATAAACAAGGCTTCAAATCAGCCTGGCAGATTTTATCCTGACTTGTCTCAGGTTTCAGCAACTGCATGCAAGTGCAAAGGGAATTTACACTGGCTGCTTCCTGCTAGCCTTTCTCTTTTTCTCCCAATCTTTGTAAGATCATTGTGAGTTGCACTGGGCAACAGAACAGACAAAAAGAAACCAAGCACTGCAGGGGTTTGGCATCCCAAACTCTTATGAGCCTTATGCACCCAGCCTCACAATCTAACAACTGAGAAAATCGTGCTCCTGTAAATTCATTGGCTGCAAACTTCACATGAGGTTTTCACAGCTGATTTCTAAAAGCTTGAGCAAGTTGATGTAGGGAACCATAATGAATTGTTATTAGGATTTGCAAATACAATCTCAAGTAATTTAGAAAACAATTTCTAGTATTGGGTTCCTTGGAATTTTCTCCAGAGGAGTAAGAAAAATTTTAATAAGACTGAATATATTCAAGAATTATATCAGTATTCCATATGGAAAGTTCAAATGCTTAACTGTCATTACTCTGGGGTCTGATTTTCACATCTGTTGTTTCACATGGGGATATTCTTTATTCATATCCTTCTGAAATTAAGTATTCATAAAGGCTTCTGAGGTCTGTACTTTATACATTTTTCCACCTCTGGATTTGTTTCAACCTTCTTTTAAATTGCCTCTTTAGCAAAGCCGTGAATATTTGTTACTGGCAGAAAGAAATCTCATTTTTCAACCCATCTACATGGCCATCTGTGGTGTTTGCAGATTACTAGAATTTTTTCTTACCTATCCAGAGAATTTTTAGATGTTTTTGAATCAGAGAATTCCCACTTGTCAGCTCTCATTACCATGTCCTTTCCGAAGTTGAATCTGATGTAGCAACAAAGCCAACAGCAGCTGGTTTAGTTTCAAGAGGCAGTAAGTAAGGGGAGAATGCACATATCTGGGTTTGACTCACTATGAGGTAGCTAATTTTTTAGAAAAGTTTTAGTCAAATTATTTTTCATTTCATTTGTCATTGTTATTTAATGATGGAAAAATTATCTTAATAAGAGATCAAATTTAGAAATATTTAGAAATCAATAAGGAAGGAGTGCTGTTTCATACTATAGGAATTCTAGAGAAAAATAGTTGAACAGTAATCACATTTGAAGGCAATTGCAGACTAGGACAGACTGCAAATATGAGAAAAGGCAGAGAGGTTTCTTTGGTTTTTTGGGGGGTTTTTTGTTTGTTTGTTTGTTTTTAATTTTTATTTTTCTTCCCCAGAAAATAAAGATTGTAAATAGTTGCTATTTATAGCATGACTGCTGAATCCACACACTGTACCTTGCTCAGATAAGGAGATTTAGGATAAACCAGCTCCACAGCATAGGACAAAGTAAAAATGTCTCCAAACTAGCTACCTCCAGGCCAGATAAAAGCAGTGGAGCAGAGTAAATGTAGCACATCACATGAACTGATTGGTTTTTCTGAAAGATTAGCCATTTTTAACCTGAAGGTAAGTTGCTCCATAGTACAGGTCAAGTGAGATTGGGATTGTCTGCACCAGGCCATGTACATATGCAGCAGAAATATTGAAGAAAAATTCCTTAACTCTTCACAGCTTTAAGTAATCTAATTTTTTGTTATGAGGGTAATTTTAATCTTAGCCTATCACTTTGTCAGTCAGCATGAACTGCCCTTCTAAAGACAGGAATTTACAAGCTTCCTTTTTATACAGGTTGCTTTCACCATTCTAGTTGGGTTTCTAGGAGTTACATAATTACGCTACAGATTTTTAATAACCCTGCTCAGAAACTTTCCATTGATATGAAGGATTTTGGGGACTTGCTACTTGTTTAGGATTATAGATAACCTCATTATTTTATGCACCTTCTCATACATTCCACAAATGAACCAGAAAAAAAGATAATGAGGAATAATATATTTGCTTTCTAAAGACTTTTTGTGGGCTTGCCAACCTAATGCATCTTGCAGTAGAAAGTAATTTTCATTCATGAAGACAGTAAAAAATGAAAATTTTGCAGTGACAATGAGATCTATTGCAGATTGCCCTTGCATAGTTTGAACATTTTCTTCAAACTTCCCCTACTACTACTACTACTATGTACAAATACATTCATGCTTTTGTGCATCTTGTTCTGCATAATACAGAAAGACAATTCTATCAGTCCTAAACAGGAGCAGTGACTTGTAGGAAAGCAGTAACTTAGGTTAGGCTGACATAGGAAATGCAGCAATATAACTTCATGATTATAAAAGTATGCCAGCTACTCAGTGACTGAGGACAGATCTACAGACCTACAAATCAGCTAAGTTTATGGAAGATCTGAAAAGCATTTTAGGGAAAAATCCCTTGCATTCTAGTTTTCAAAGATGAGAGATCTGAGGAGAGGGAAAAACCCGTGGCTCAGAAACCAATAACACATAAGATGTGATAGCTAATACATTGCATTATATACATTAGAATCAGCCAGTGTACACTGCAGCAGAAATCCAAGAACTGAGCATCAAATGAGAATCCAATTAGTAGACTTCTCCTTTGGCTTTGCCATTTGTTTGGACTTGGAATTTCACATCAAAGAAGAATGTTGCATCCTCATTGCATTCCCATTTATTCAGATATTGCATTCCCATTTATTCAGATATCTGAGATCGGAGTATCAGAATATGATAAATTATTATAAGTATTATGTTAGACATTTCTAACACATGATTCTGAATTTTCATCAGTGATAAAACTTTTGTGCAAGCTTTGACTAAAAGTTCAAGGTTTTGTTTATCAGGATTTCTATACCTAAGTAATTCATTAGATGTCCATAAAAACCATTATTGTTATGAAACAGGTCACAATTTAAGTAAATTTTTGAGGCCACTAGATGGTGCCACATATATTGTTAAATGCCTCAGAAAACAAAATTCTGGGGAAAACTAAAAGAACAAACAAAGAAATAACAAGATATAATACTGCTTCGTGAAACAGCAAGGCTGTTTTTAGATATTATTTCTCAGGGTCTCCATCGTGTCATTTCCCTCTACTACCTCAAATGGTTCTGCTCTTTCTTCTGTGTATTGGGTAGGACTGTACACTTCAGAGGGACCACCACAACAGTGCCAACTCATTTTAGTGTGTATAAACAATAGTCTTCTGTTTCCTCACTGTAAATTTCTCAGCCATAATTTCAGTAATTACAGATATTTTGAGAAACTAACAAGTTTTTGATATATATTGTTACTGTATGTCTTACATACAGCAGTGTTTTCCTGATCAGGCCAGCCAACGCTGGCTCCTGCACTGTACTCAACAGCATAAGGCAGCTAGACTCCTGGGCTTCATATCCACTGTCCACTGAGTTTTTTCGAGTGCTTTCAAGAAAATAACCCTGGTGGATTTTTTTTCCTGGCCTCACAGGCAATTGTGAGAAGGTATAGAAAATCTATGGCATTTGATTGACACTGGATGTGCTCACAGCCTCATGCTACAAGGTACCAAGGTATACTAAATTGGTGTCTATGCTCCTTTCAGACCTGCCAGTGCCAGCTCAGAACACAGCTGCGTTTGAGGAAAGGGATTACCCTTGTGCATGGCACTTAACCTAGCCCACAGCTCATTGTTATCTTGTAAAATGGAGTTGGGGGTTGCACACTGTGGCAATACTCAAGATATATTCAGAGTTAATTCTGCAGTGAATATAAATTTCTGGCTGTTTAGTTCAGTTTTCAAGTTGACCTTTCATTGTTTGGTAGTGTCTCTGAGACCTTCTGACTCATGATACAGTATCGGCTTGCGACTACTTGAGAAGAATCTATATGCTTTAATTTCTGATCTAATCTTAATTTTGAAAGTTTTGTTTATTTTGTTCCATGAAAAATCTTTATTTATATGCTTACTTAGGATTATGACCAGGGAAGTCAGTAAAGCTATAAACAGAGGAAAGCAAAAGTGGTCAGTCAGATAAATTGCTGAATATTGAAAAGGCCAAAGCAATAAAAAGTAGCATTATAATTCATAGGGTATGTGAGGCATTAAAAAGTCATGCAGGTTCAGATTTTCACCAAGATTTATTGCAGACAAAAATCTAATAGAATCTTAATTTTTTTATTATTATAAATATGGTAAAGAAGATAATAAAATAGTACAAACTCACTGTATCCTAAAAGACTTCTCAAAATCAGGTTGTTCACTTGCTGTTCTCCATCAGATTCAGTCAAGGCTGACATTTAATGGAAGGCATTCTCTGTGCCATAGAAAAGTGATGAAGAATGTGATCATCTAGTATCATTATTTCTATCCCCATCCCAATACATATTTACATGCCATAAGAAGTGATTTTTGTCGGATTATTTTGATTGAGGATTACAGGAAGATGCATTTCTTCCCAATATTTCAGCAATCACCAGCTTAAGCAGATATATTTAATTTGTATATTAATTCAGTTAGTCATATTGAAGTAATGGAATAAAGTTTTATTTCACTCAGTGATGTACAAATAGGCAGAACAAGGTAGGCCTTAACTGGAAGTCCTTATTGTTTCATTTCCATAAGAAAGAATAGAGTTTTGCTGCAGAAAAATAGGTCACAGCATCAGATGATATTTTCCTAGCAGATATATCTAGGTGCATATTCAGATATTTTGCCTTAGGGATGAGACAAGACAGTAAATAATGAAGTGAGGGGAAATTTTCAGGATATAAATGTACTCATAGCCCTCACCTAGATAAAATACAGGGAACCTGCACCTTTGCCAGTGAATCATAGGACTGTAGGCATGTAAGTCACACCAGGAGCTCAGAGTTTCCATTCTCTGGTTTATGGCTGGGAATTTTCATTAAATATAGGTCATTAAATATAAGTTGGAACTTAAAAATACAGACAAGGAAGTTATGTTTGCTGGAGCGGATAAATAGCTGCCAAGTGAAAGCTGTGAAGGATTGCATCAGCAATAATTCAGATACTGTTAATAACAAAAGGCAAAACTGAAATGGTCCTACATACCTAAACTAGAGAGCCAGAGAATAAAAAATACATGAGCAGACATAAAACTACTTAGTATATGCTTAATTCATCAGTTATTCTTCTTCCTTAGCTCCTGCTCTATCACCAATGGCAATAAGGCATTGGCCACACTATTCAAACCTTGAAGGTGGCTATTTGTGCAGATACATTTGTCCAAACATGTCAAAAATTATCCTTGCCAAAGCTATCCTTCAGCTTAACTATCTATTAACATATATTATGTCATTTCTGATGGGGAATGTGAGCTAATTGGGCAAATGTCAGTCAATTAGAAAGGACCTTCGGCCTCTGATGCCTGAATGCTCTTGGTTCCTTACAGTGCTTTTTAGTAAATTTTAGGAGTATTAAGAAGGTAATCCTTTATTACATATAAGCTAAATGTTTGCATTTGTTTATAATTCCAAAATTTGAGAAAACACAGAAAGGGAGTGCCAGTTCTTTTACTAATAAACCAGACCCCAGATTTGTTTTCAGCCGCAGAATCTCTTCAACTCCCCTTCGGACAAGCTTAGGAAGATTGCAGCTGCTCCCCTCAGCCTTTTCCTTCAAAGCTCAAGAAATCCAGTTCCTTCCGCACCTTGTCACCTTTGCATCCTCTCTAGTCATCTTGGTGGCCCTCCAGAGGGCCTGCTCTGTGTCTGTGTTCTGAGGTGCCGGCCCTGTCTGGGCTCACCAGGGCGGTGAGCGGCCTGGGCTGTTGGCGGTGATGGCTCCCTGTGCCGGGTTCACAGCCAGGCCTGCAGCCACAAGAGTGCACTGCTGACTCACGGTCAGCAAAACCCAGCAGCGTTACCCACTCACACCCCCTCGCTTGGATCAGAGCTCTAACTTCGGGTAAGCAGATAACTCTCAAGGGGTATGCTTTTATCTTGGACAGACTTTTCCTTCCTGTAGCTAATGCAGCTGTCAAGTTTTGGCTACCCATTTGTGTGCCAGTGACTATTTAGACTCCATGCACAGAACAGGAGCTGTAAATAAAGCCTGGTAAATAATGTGCAGGAGAGAACCCCTGGAGCGGGCATATTCAAATTTTGGAAAAGCAAAAATACTATTAGGCATCAAACTTTTAAAAAGACATTTTAGGGTGGTCATGAGATTTCCTGTTGTTTTGGATGCTTTTTGCACATACAGACAGAAATTTCACAGAATCCCAGAATTTGGGAGTGACTTCAGCTGCTCCTCATACCTCGACACCCTTCCCTATCTTTGTAGCCCTCCTTTGGATGCTCTCTAACACTTTATATCTTTGCTATACTGTGGCTCTCAGAACTGTCCCCAGCACTGGAGGTGAGGCTGTCCCAGCTCAGAGCAGAGGGGACAATCCCCTCCCTTGCCTGGCTGGTGATGCTGGGCCTGATGCCCCCAGGACAGGGCTGGCCCTCCTGGCTGCCAGGGCACTGCTGGCACATGTTCAACTTGCCACTGACCAGGAACCCCAGGTCCCTTTCCAGGGCACAGATTTTGTCTGGTTGACTGTCAAGAGCTTCCAGGTCCTCATGGGATGTGGGGCCATTTTTTGGGTGTCTCTGGGCTCAAGAATCCCCTGTGCAGGTCAATCCAGCCCTCAGCCCTGGACTTACCTCAGTCATCATCCCTGCCACTGCCCCCTCACCAACATCTTGATTTTCTGACTAGCCCTAGAGTATACTGTAGCTTAATAAAAACACTGATCTCTTACTTGTAGGCCAAAATCCAAGAGAAGCTTCCAAGGCCAAAGCCTGAGGCAGCTGTCTTGGCTAGATACCAAAGTTCTCCATTTTCTCAGGGCCTTCTCTTCATGGTCTTACAAAGTGTTTTTTTAAAAAATCTGTCCTAAAGAGTGAGAAAAATTGAGCTCAACAGATTTCACTTGAACAGAGATTATTAAAATTATTGAAATGGTTGTTAAAGTCTAAAGCCATGTATCCAGAAAGTCAAAGTCTTCTTTAAATTCCCAGTCTACTGAAATGTTCCAAATACTTGTGTTTATTACAAGTTATTCTCATTGCAAACTGACTGGTAGCTGCAGGATACTGTCCTGTGGGAGGTGACCTCTGAGTGAGAGTTGAATTTTAAGCCTGGATAGGGCCATCAAGGTTCAGCCATGTGTGAAAGTATTGTACAAACAAAACCTCTTACACAAACAAAACATCCAACTCAGTCTCCTGCGTTCAATGCCAGTCATGTCTATGATTTTATTTTTTTTTTCAGAGAATCCAAGCATGTTTCACAAATTTTCATCCTGCTGGCAATAATGTGCCAGCTCTTTTTAGGGCAAATACATTATTTTGATTAGCCTGATGCCGTTCTAGAAATGCTGCTTTCTCCTGAGGCATTATGCAGTTTTGTTTATCTCAAGTGTTAAAAATGCTTGAGTGACCTTTGGCCCCTTCAAAGCCCTGGCTTTATGGCATCTTACTGAGTTTTACTGGTAAATTTAGGGAGTCAGGAAAGTATGTCTAAGGCTGCCATCTTCATACTTGTTACTTTCTCACTCTGAGCTGTCTGTTCCCCATCCAGTCTTAGGGGTTTTCCACCAGCTGACAAGGGGGGAATTATGCCTTTTTATTTCTTTCATGTAAAGTTATTCTTAGATTATTCTGGATAATCTGTCAAATATTTATGTGCATTTTACTCCTGATCTCTATCATACAATCAGCTAGACCAAAAGCATAATTTTTGTTGGTTTATTTCTAAACAACTTCAGGAATCTGAACCACGTTAAAATTGCTACTTCCCAGATTACTATCTATTTTTCCTGTAGATAAACAGAAGTGAAAAAACATTTCTAGATTTTGATACTATGGTTTACCTAAAATGCAATAGTACTAAACAAGTTTTTTTGATGTCTAAGACCTCAAAATAACTCTATGTAAGAGTATTCAAACGATCTTGATAAGTTATTTCATTGTGAAGTCCTCTTATTTACCCTTCAATGCAGAACACCTTCCTAGTCTTCTCCTTTGAACAGCACTCACGTATGATCTCTTATATTCTGCACAGACTTCTCCAACCTGGAAACTTTTCTTGTAATTTTATTATCCAAACAGGTCTATGCTAGACATTTCTCCTCAGTTATTGCAAATGAGAAGCATATGCAAAAACATACCATAGGTGTGTATGTGGTATACCAAACCCACAGGTGTTTGAAGAAAATTTTAAAACATAGAAGCCTACAAACTCAAATCTAGCTGTATGGAACTGACATGTTAGCTCTCAGCCTAGATTAAGACAATTTCCTGGAGAAGAGATGACACAAGATGATCCTGGAAGCAAAATCTGAAGCCAGCAAGGAGTAGTGCAATGAAAAGCAGTCGACCAATGTGAGCTGGTGCCAGAGCAGATATCTTGCCTCTTATCCTTGACATCTTGGGGATAAGCCTGGAATTTATGGGGTCTTGCATCATGTGCTTCTCTACTGCTGATAGTGTAAAGGTGTGAAAATGAGCTTTAGGATTTCGATGAGAAACAAACAGCAGGACGAATAGTAAGCAAAAAACTTTATTAGGAATGGAAGAAAAGAATGTGGGAGTGAGCAGGTTTGGGATTACTGTGGTTAAGCAGGATAAAGCCAGTGGAGTAAATTAAATCAATAGCTGAGATGATGACAGAGCTCAAAACAGAGAGTAAGAATAACACTGTCACAAACCCAAGAACATTAATAGCTTGAATGGGCCTTCAAAGGTCACCACTGGGTGCTGAATCACTTTAGCCACGTGCACTCCTAAAAATGTCATGCTACCATCATAGTGTAGAATCAGCCTTCTAATTTATTTTGGCAGTTGATGTCATCACAGCAGTTTACACCTTAATTTAAACTGCAATCATATTGCACCACACTGTTGATTTTTAAGTCGATGAGGATCAAATAAATACTTCTGGTTGCTGTATTACTGTATTACATATTCTTCTCACACTTTGGCTCCTTAACATTCAGTGTTCTGTCACCTGCATATAACTGCATTATAACACTGCAGAGGGCACTATCGGTGCATATGAGCAGTGCTGGGCAAACTCACAATTTCATGAAAATAGGACAAGGGATGTCCGCAAGTATGCGTTTATTCATTCACTAGTGTTAGATCTCTTTGGCCTGGTGATGAAATCACATCTGGCCAAACATCCTTAGACATAAAGAAAATAGAAATAAAATGAGATTTCAGCAGTCAGTTCAAAATTCTTGTGTATTTAGAACTGACAAAAATCATGGCAGAGGGAACCTCCCTCCTCACCCCCAAAACTCTTGCATTGAAGTGATGGTTAAACAGTTAGTTTAAAATCTCTCTGCGTTTTTCTATGGCATGTCTTGGTTTTTAGATGCCATCATTTGTGTGTGTCCATACCCATTAAAATCATGATTTCAATATTTAAATGAGAGATCAGCTTTTAAAAATTTCACTTGTGGTTTAAATAGGTAAACTAAACCACGATATAGAAAAACCTTGCTGCAGCCTCTGATAGATATTTAAAGAGAAGGTTTTCTCCTATTTCCAGATCAGTTCCTGAGCAGTGCTATGACTTTAGGCAAGTGAATACTTAGTTCATGTATGATTAAATTGGGTGTGATTGCTAGTAAAATGATTTATAATTCTTGGATGGAATGCTAATATTTCTAAGAAAATATTTTGGCATCTGCAGTTCTTGAAAGTTTTGATCTTAAACTGATTTCTGTAGTGTTTAAGATAGAGTTTTGATGAAAAATTATGATTTGGGCTCTTTGGAATTCACTATTCAAGTAATTTTTCTGCAGAGCAAAAGTAAGCAGCCAAATCCACAAGTGTTCATTCTGAAAGCATTTTGCTGACATCAGTACTCTGCCATATCTACTTTCTTAATGTCCAAAGAGGGCTTTTGCCACAGCTATGATAAAAAGAGCAGAAAAACATTCCCAGTAGAAAAAAGTTCTAGGAGATACCTGTTCACACTAACTCTAAAAATGTTAGAGGATGGTTTGCTCAAAGGGGCTAAACAGCTGGTACAGAATGTGTTCTCAGGCTAACCTAGAAAGCTATGAAAGGATCCAGAGACTGGAAGTTGAAAACAGATTTTTTCAAAGTAGGTTTATTTGCATTTTTAGAGATGTGAACAACTAGCTACTGGAAAGACATGTTAAGATGTCTTCTCTATCATTATATTCATTAATGTATTAATGTATTAATGTATAACCTTTTTTCTCTGAAAGGTATGTTGTTCTGAGGTTAAAAATTAATCCAGAGAGATTCTGTACTCCTCTACCAAGATCAATCCCATATAGATTCAGACCTAGACCTAAATCTGCCATATGATCCTAAAGGAGGGAGCACAAACTATTTTACAAGTCTATTCCTAAGCTTCTCTTTGGCTTATGTAAGGCTTATTTTATACGATTGGCTCCTGACAGCCATTCATAAAACTTGCAGCATTTGCTATCCAAATAGCTTCCAGCCTCTGACATTATATCCTCTAGCATATCTGCTTACATTCTGCTGTTGTCCTACTTCCAGACACCATTCATCTTTGAGTGCACAGTTTCACTAGATGCATTAGTTGCTTGCCCTGCTGATATCTTCATTGAAAGCACTCATATTACAAACAGCAGCTGCCATTTAAGCAAGATATGGTTTGATATGTTAAAACAATGTAGATCTCTCTAAATCTGCTAAGCTTAAACATTGAGTAAGATTGCTTAGTCACTGGCTGCTCATATTGCTTTTACTGGATTAGTATAAACTATGTAAAAATTAGTTGGCTTGAAGGAAAATTAACTGATAGCACTAAACATGCTATCTTAACTCTTTTACAGTTCTCCTGCTGAAGTGCCTGAGATGATCTTTTCATGAACATTAAATCCCCAAAAATCAGCATATTCAAACATG